CCAGCATGTTACTGGCCAAATATCATCATCCTAGGCCTCTCAGTTATTCGGAAGAAGTTTTTAAAGGTTTTGAACATATTTTACCCCTGTGACCTTGAATATAAGACAAGGCCATTTATTTGAACAAACTCGGTAGCCTTTCATTCCAGCATGTTACTGGCCAAATATCATCATCCTAGGCCATTTGGTTATTCAGAAGAAGTTGATTAAAGATTTTTACATATTTGACCCCTGTGACCTTGAAAATTGATGAAGGTCATTTATTTGAACAAACTTGGTAGCTCTTCATCCAAGCATGCTTCTGACCAAATATCATCACCATCACGGACGGACGATGGACGACGGACGACGGACGGACGACGGACGCCGCACCATGCCATAAGCTCACTTGGCCCTTCGGGCCAGGTGAGCTAATAATAGTTTAAGTGGCAGGATAAGAGATGGTGCTAACTTTTTAATAACTTTAGGAACTAAGCCATCATGTTTTCTAACTGACTTTGACATCCTGACTAGTTATTTGAATATTTGATATGGAGTAAGGAAGTTCCACAATTACATCATCAGGAAGTTCAAGGTTGTTAGATGAAGACAAGATAGAAGTGAAATGACTTATTGTTAAATTTTAATACGGTTTTAGCTATTTTCCACCATTTATCAGGGGGTATATTTTTATCATCAAGAGAATTTTGAAGTTTAACAATGAAATTAGATTTTGCTTCTCGAATAAGTCTGATTACTTCATTCCTAATTATTCTAAAGCGCGTCCAGTGATCAGGGCTATTGGTTACTTTTGCCTTTTTATGAATTCTATTTCTTTGCCTCATTTTAGTTCTGATGTTATGGTTCGTCCAAGATTTATCATTTGGTCTTACTGTCATAGTTTTACATGGTGTATATCTTTCCATCTGCTCAGTGATTGCATCATTTATGATGATACTAAATTCGTTCGAATTGGATTGGTTAGCTAGTTGTTGCCAATCCATATTTAGTAGATATTCATTCGATTAAAATCAGCAGCGTCATATTGTCAGATTTTCTTTTTATAAGAGTTTTGCTTAAATACACAATATGATATACTAATATGTACTGGAGAATGATCACTACAAAATGGATCGCCTACTTGTGTACCTCTTATAATATTTCTATTGTTTGTAAATACAAAGTCGATGCAACTATAGCTTTCTGGTGTAATACGTGTGGGTTCATTTATTAGATTGCATAAGTTAAATTTAGAAAGAAATCTTGATAGGTGGGAAGCTGGTTGAAGAGAAAGAAGATTAACATAAATGTCCCCTACTAATAAAATATCTAGAGAAAGGTCTGATGCTTTTTCAAGTATGCTATCAAGTTTCTTCCAAAATTCAACATTTGAATCAGGAGGTACCGCGTATAATAATCACCTCAACGGGTATAATACACCTGGAGGTTCCCCTGTATAATAATCACCTCAACGGGTATAATACACCTGGAGGTTCCCCTGTAAAATAATAACCTCAAAGGGTATAATACACTTGGAGGTATAACATATAATAATCACCTCAAAGGGTATAATACACCTGGAGGTTCCCCTGTAAAATAATCACCTCAAAGGGTATAATACACTTGGAGGTATAACATATAATAATCACCTCAAAGGGTATAATACACCTGGAGGTTCCTCTGTATAATAATCACCTAAAAGGGTATAATACACCTGGAGTTTCCCCTGTATAATTATCATCCAAAGGGTATACTACACCTGGAGGTGTAACGTATAATAATCACCTCAAAGGCTATAATACACCTGGAGGTTCCCCTGTAAAATAATCGCCTCAAAGGGTATAATACACTTGGAGGTATAACATATAATAATCACCTCAAAGGGTATAATACACCTGGATGTTCCCCTGTGTAATAATCACCTCAAAGGGTATAATACACCTTGAGGTGTAACATATAATAATCACCTCAAAGGGTATAATACACCTGGATGTTCCCCTGTGTAATAATCACCTCAAAGGGTATAATACACCTGGATGTTCCCCTGTGTAATAATCACCTCAAAGGGTATAATACACCTGGAGTTTCCCCTGTGTAATAATCACCTCAAAGGGTATAATACACCTGGAGTTGTAACGTATAATACTCACCTCAAAGGGTATAATCCACCTGGAGGTTCCCCTGTGCAATAATCACCTCAAAGGGTATAATACACCTGGAGTTGTAACGTATAATACTCACCTCAAAGGGTATAATCCACCTGGAGGTTCCCCTGTGCAATAATCACCTCAAAGGGTATAATACACCTGGAGTTTCCCCTGTGTAATAATCACCTCAAAGGGTATAATACACCTTGAGGTGTAACATATAATAATCACCTCAAAGGGTATAATACACCTGGATGTTCCCCTGTGTAATAATCACCTCAAAGGGTATAATACACCTTGAGGTGTAACATATAATAATCACCTCAAAGGGTATAATACACCTGGATGTTCCCCTGTGTAATAATCACCTCAAAGGGTATAATACACCTTGAGGTGTAACATATAATAATCACCTCAAAGGGTATAATACACCTGGATGTTCCCCTGTGTAATAATCACCTCAAAGGGTATAATACACCTGGATGTTCCCCTGTGTAATAATCACCTCAAAGGGTATAATACACCTGGATGTTCCCCTGTGTAATAATCACCTCAAAGGGTATAATACACCTGGAGGTATAACATATAATAATCACCTCAAAGGGTATAATACACCTGGAGGTGTAACGTATAATAATCACCTCAAAGGGTATAATACACTTAACACTGGTAGTACAGTGCACTCAAATCTTTGGTACAGTACACTCACCTCAGGAGGTACAATGCAGGCTGGAAGTGAAGACTTGTGGAATTTGACATCGACACTGGTGGTTTTGATGACCGACATGGAAAGGTTAGACAGGTACACCTGCCTACGACTTGTATCCTTAAACAGCATATTTGATGCTGAAAACAATGGTAGGATTACTCAGTACTGTTTTTAGTCTGTATCTATCAGTCATACACATATTCATGACACATATTTTAATTATCATACCCGGTAATATCTCACATATCCAGTACAATGAGACCTTGTTAATTAATTGTTGTGTATCAAGGAAAGTAACTCTTTCACTAACTTGTTTATCAAGTACAGTAGAACCAGGACTAAGACAATCTGTAACTCCAATTGAGTGTTCCTGCTTCGCTAATTCAGAAAGCTCAGTCTTCGTAATTTTTGTCTATAAATATAAAGTCTGGCTTGACAAGGATTTACTGTGCAGGAAGATATCCCTTATGCTAGGTAGACTTACCTGTCCAGTACAGGTAAATGATCTGTTTTTCATGAAGGAATGTCAGAGCGTTGAGTAATTGCTGCATTATAAATGTAGCTTCGTCTGGTTGCAGAAAAATGTGTAAGTCTCGATACTCTTCCAGTGTGCCACCTGTCAAAACAACGTGAAGTATGTAAGATTTACAACAAAACACACTGTGTAAACATGTTACAACATCCATTCAACAATCTCAATTATTTTCATTAACAATTGAAGAGCAAGTGAACTTTTCAGTGAATACTTACCACAGATGAATTCTGTACACACATACAGGTAGTCAGCAGTGTCGTGGACCCACATGTGGGGAGTGATGTGATGGTGCCCTTCACAACTAAGCTTCCTGTACACTTCCACCAAGTTATCCTTTCCCCTGTCTTTCTTAAAAATCTACACAAACAAATAAAAGTTCACAATGATAAATGGGTCTGATCTACATAATAAACAGGTTATAAACCACATAAGCTTCCTCTGGACGAGTCATCATAGATTCTGTAACCTTTCCCTGAACCAAAGACTCTAGAAAACTCTATTTCCCCTTTGGGCCAGGTGATAGGTGAGCAAAACAAAAACAGGAATGCTTGTGGTGTTATAGACTGGTGGTCTTTTAAGTATGGTTTCACTTTACTTTTATCAATTTTCATGAATTAGAATTTAAATTGCTTCGTAGAGAAGAATTATAAAAATTATCATTGATAAATAATTAAATGATTGAGCAATAAATGCAAAATAAATAAGTAAAAGTTGTTCACATAAAGAAACTGAAGTTTGTACTGAAAAACAACACACAGGAAATGGCATGAAAAACACTAAATAGAAATAGTGACTAGCATAGGTTTTGAAGCATTGAGGGAATAGGAATGCCAACTGGACAAAGGCAACTTTAATTAAACATGCTAGTGCTTCATGTTGTCTTCAACATCACAGCATACTTCAACATCAGGTCTCACAACTTACATACCAAAACATCAGGTCTCGCAACTTACATACCAAAACATCAGGTCTCTCAACTTACATACCAAAACATCAGGTCTCACAACTTACATACCAAAACATCAGGTCTCACAACTAACATACTAAAATATCAGGTCTCACAACTTATATACCAAAATATCAGGTCTCACAACTTACATACCAAAATATCAGGTTTCACAACTTACATACCAAAACATCAGGTTTCACAACTAACATACTAAAATATCAGGTCTCACAACTTACTTAAACATAAGGTCCAATATCTTACTTAAGCTCTTCAAATCAGATCTAACAACTTACACGCTTCAATATCCGGTCTTTGCTGTCCGTTTGAGTTTCCTCCTCAGTGAACAGGGCCACGTTACCAAAGCTGCCAAAGGTGGTGATGAGGATGAGGTCAGGATTAGGCACAGCGTTAGCGGCGCCAGGGGGGGTAAGCTGTAGCAAACAGAACATGTTTGTGATCACATATGACCCTGTTTCCTGTTTGTTTCATTCACTACTAGAGTCTGCCTGTCCACCAGTAAGATTCTGCTAGAACACTGCCAGGTCAATGTATCATTTTGTGTAATTTACATTAGATTTGTCTTTTGGAGTTCGAGATACAGGCAATACCCCATCGTCTATTTTTAGTAACAGTGACATTGGCATTAGATACTTAGTAAATCCCTATTACACATCTCCATATCACAGTATATAACCATATCAAATTTCTAAAAGGTTTTTCTTTTGGATTCTGAGATAATCTCCGGAAACAAAAGTGTGGACAGACACACAGAAGGACCCTGTGATTACTATAAAGATGAGGGGCCCTAATAACTATTAGAGTGAATAAATACAGTCCACTTATAGAATCCACAGAGTTCACTACCAGAGTTTGCCAGAGGAGTCCTTTAGTAGAGTCTGTCAGTAAAGTCCACAGGTAAAGTTCTCGTGCAGAGTCCACCTGTACACTCCACTGTTTGATTACTTATTTAGTCTTGTCTTACCTGTGTAATTCTCCCTTACCTTTATAAACCCTCCCTTGGCTAGATATCCAGTAAACTTTTGGCCAAGATTGAGCGACGGCAAACTGTTGCAATGCAGGAATTGGGACACTTCCTCAATACCATCAGTAAAACTGTAGCAAACCAAAGCGACAAATGTAACCTAACCACGTTTACACTGACCAGACAGGTCTTATAAAGTCCATATCATCAGTTAACTGTAACACAGGGATGCCACCAGACATCTACACACAGACCACTTCACAAGATTGCATCAGAGATTCAGGGAGAAACTCCATATTGAAATAGACTGCGGTGACCTATATTTACAACATCTATTGCTACAATGAACATTCACTTTTTACATTTTTCTACAATTCATATGTAAATATTTCCAAAACCATTGGCAGTACAATCTCCAAAACAGAGGACCATGTAATCATCCTCACTCCTTTCTTATATTTTTTATGAAGAGCACAATTTATCTCATAAAATCATATCCAAAGCTTATTGCTTCACAAAATAACTGAAAGTTTTGCCAAGATATCTCTAATTGTTTTAAAGTTATGGGTCTGGAAACGATTATATAAGAAGAAGAATCAGAACTAATGCAAGGTCTTCCTTCATTCGAAGAGGATACATAACTGATGGTGATGAGTGAAGTAATTCAATAAAATGACACTTTGACTCTTTGTTAAACGTCTTTAATGAACAAAAAAAATGTGTGTGGGTTTAATATATATATCTAGCTGTCCTTGTACGATGTCGACTCAGCAAAGCCTCATATTTGACTTCACAAACCATACTCTCTTGTTGAAATTTCCCTGTCTACATTGAATTGATTTTTTATTTGTGTTACCTGCGTAGAAGGTGACACATGTGTACGTCACACTTATATAGGTGGTGACCACATCCCTTGGCATGATGGTACAGGGCCTGACCAACCTGGTGGATGGTCGTATTACACTCCAGTGACCAGCGGCTAGCCAATGCCTGAGTCAGGCCTAATACAGCTTCACGCAACTGTAACACAATATGACCGTCACATAAGAGAAAGGCTAAATATTGCACAAATTATTTCAACTTTTAACGCATATTGGTTTAACAGAAAAGGTTTTAGTTTAACAGTGAAGTTTATCCCAGACATATTACAGCACTTGAGTTTACAGCCCTTACTATGAAAGTTTGAATATTATTATTACTATATTTTCTATGGTCAACTTCAAACATTTATCCTGCAAAGACATGTAATCACGTTAGACTGGAGATAAGGGATGCCCTAGGTTCCACACTTTTCTGTCACGTTTACACCTGGCTGGAATACAGAGTTAAAGGTACAGGTGAAATGTTCAACCTACAACAACACTGCATTACATTTCTTATCTACAGTCGGTGGATGGAATAACTTCAGCTGACTCTAAACTTGCAGACCTCAAATTAAAGCCACTGCAGCTTACACTAAACATTGTATTTGTTGTATTTATGTGAAGATGATTTCCTGTTTATTCCAGATCTTGTCAAACTATTCACATAGCAAGTTTAATTTTTTCTAGACATAGTTTTTACTATAGAGTATGGTGAATGCAACCCCAAAACTCTTATTAGGAACAATCTGGACTTTCTGCAAGTAAACAACATGTAGTAATTATGGAGAACAGTATTGGAATATCATTAACTACAAAGCAGTGGCACAGAAAAGTAAATGTTTGAAGTTGTGTCAGGTAACATACTGTAATTACCTTGTTACATTTGGGGTCAGAGCAGGAACTATCCCGGCACCGGGAAATATACTCCAAATCACTGGCAGATATCACCTGAAAAAAGACAGGTTGTCAAATACTGTATCAGTGTTGCAGCATAAGGCATAAAAATGATAGTTCTCACCCCTAACTTCTCCAAAAATAGGGTAGACAGCTAGTCAAATCTTTTTATTATAAAGGGTAGACAGCTAGTCAAATATTTTTTTATTATATATCATATTAGAAAATGTATTTCAGACTTTAACATTGCTTGACTAAACTTAACACAACAACACTACAAAAGGGAATTAAAACTAGAGTTAAGGTATATACACAAGCACTTATCTGTATAATGATGTAACATACAATTCACTTTCACAATAATGCTGTAATTGGTAAATGTTTGGTTGGAACACAACATCTAAGGTCATGACAACAGTAACTGATATTGCTAGGGTCTATCATGATTAGGTAGGGAGACTCACTTACCTCAGGAAGTTGGTAGGGTCTATCATGATTAGGTAGGGAGACTCACTTACCTCAGGAAGTTGGTAGGGTCTATCATGATTAGGTAGGGAGACTCACTTACTTCAGGATGTTGGTAGGATCTATCAAGATTAGGTAGGGAGACTCACTTACCTCAGTACGTTGGTAGGATCTATCATGATTAGGTAGGGAGACTCGCTTACCTCAGGATGTTGGTAGCGTCTATCATGATTAGGTAGGGAGGCTCACTTACCTCAGGACGTTGGTACGGTCTATCATGATTAGGTAGGGATACTCACTTACCTCAGGACGTTGGTAGTGTCTATCATGATTAGGTAGGGAGACTCACTCACCTCAGGAAGTTGGTAGGGTCTATCATGATTAAGTAGGGAGACTCACTTACCTCAGTACGTTGGTAGGATCTATCATGATTAGGTAGGGGGACTCACTTACCTCAGGACGTTGGAAGGGTCTATCATGAATAGGAAGGGCGACTCACTTACCTCAGGACGTTGGTAGGGTTTATCATGATTAGGTAGGGAGACTCGCTTACCTCAGGATGTTGGTAGGGTCTATCATGATTAAGTAGGGAGACTCACTTACTTCAGGATGTCGGTAGGATCTATCAAGATTAGGTAGAGAGACTCACTTACCTCAGGACGTTGGAAGGGTCTATCATGATTAGGTAGGGAGACTCGCTTACCTCAGGATGTTGGTAGCGTCTATCATGATTAGGTAGGGAGCCTCACTTACCTCAGGATGTTGGTAGTGTCTATCATGATTAGGTAGGGAGCCTCACTTACCTCAGGATGTTGGTAGGTTCAATCATGATTAGGTAGGGAGACTCACTAACCTCAGGATGTTGGTAGGGGCTATCATGATTAGGTAGGGAGACTCACTAACCTCAGGATGTTGGTAGGGTCTATCATGATTAAGTAGGGAGACTCACTTACCTCAGTACGTTGGTAGGATCTATCATGATTAGGTAGGGAGACTTACTTACTTCAGGATGTTGGTAGGATCTATCAAGATTAGGTAGGGGGACTCACTTACCTCAGTACGTTGGTAGGATCTATCATGATTAAGTAGGGAGACTCACTTACTTCAGGATGTTGGTAGGGTCTATCATGATTAAGTAGGGAGACTCACTTACCTCAGTACGTTGGTAGGATCTATCATGATTAAGTAGGGAGACTCACTTACTTCAGGATGTCGGTAGGATCTATCAAGATTAGGTAGGGGGACTCACTTACCTCAGGACGTTGGTACGGTCTATCATGATTAGGTAGGGATACTCACTTACCTCAGGACGTTGGTACGGTCTATCATGATTAGGTAGGGATACTCACTTACCTCAGGACGTTGGTACGGTCTATCATGATTAGGTAGGGAGGCTCACTTACCTCAGGACGTTGGTACGGTCTATCATGATTAGGTAGGGATACTCACTTACCTCAGGACGTTGGAAGGGTCTATCATGATTAGGTAGGGAGACTCACTTACCTCAGGATGTTGATGTTGTTTACAATTATTAGGCATCACTGATTCACTTACCTTGGGATGTTGGTAAGGTCTGACATAATTAGGAAGGACCGACTCACTTACCTCATAATGTTGGTGTGGCCTTTCTTGGTTCAGTTGGTCTGAAATACAATTACAACCACTTTACTATCACATCAAACACAATGACATAAAAGGTATCATACAACTAAATGCGCTGTACATGTACATTTCCACTTAAAACAGGAATTGTGATGTATCGCATTACCTCCAAAGGCAGGGGTTTCATTTGTAGCTAGTATCCTGCAAAAATAACCTCCTACTACAGAAATTTTACTGGCTACATTCATGAAAAAACCAGAAGAACGGTAATGAGGTCATATAAGATGTACTGAAATCAACTGCCTACTTTGTGTAGGATGCAGGTGACAAGAAATCTGAATAAATCTCCTGCAAAGGTGTGGCAATAAATTGCCAAGTTTTCAAATGCTTTGCAAAAGTATTACTGCATATTTATCAAAGCGCTGTACTTACATGGTGAGGGTGTACTTGATTGCTTATAAAAATCAAGCATCTTCAGAAAGTCAGAGGGGTCCTCCATACACCTCTCTAAAAGTGACCCATCATTTTGTATCATCTGTAAGAGCATACTTAATGGAGATATTGGAAGTGTGTCTGCTTCCTCACTAGTCCTGGGTGCCTGCGACTCCATGTTGTTGGAGATGGGCTGACCATCACTCAAATAATGTTTATAAACGTGGCGGTAGGATGGGGTTTGAAAGCTGGGATCAGACATGCCCGAGATGTCACTGGGGAGGCACACACTACTGTCATTGCCTGTGCTAGCACTCACATTGCTTGGCATGCTACCATTCTTGTTGACATAGTTCATTGAGGGCTTCAGGTCATCTCTAGATTGTGTACAGTATAACATACTTACAAGTGGAATATTGCCAGCGATACTCTCCTCACTTTCCTCATCACCAAACATAGACAGGCATGGCATATTTGACCCTTCTTTTGGTGAAAAATTTGTAGGTGGGGTGCAAGATGACTGTTTCTGTGAAATATTTTCACCTTCAGAGTTGTGCTTTGTGGTGTCTCCCGAGACAGTAGAGCCACTCTCCACACTAGAGGGAGAGGGTAATGAATTGGTGGGTGTCACTGATGACATGATACTAAGGTTCGGTAAAACTTTACCAATGTTTGGTAAAACTTTACCAATGTTTGGTAAAACTTCACCATTTGTGTTGGAGTTCATCTTTTCTTGGAGAACCTTCAATGTATGTTCTTCTACATCAAATACATCTCCCTCCTGAGTTTGTGAGCCCATGGAGTTGTTCTTACTCCCATCTGACCCATACCCTGAATCTTTATAGCTTCGACGGCGGGTTTTTACTTCGTCTTCATTAGGAATATCATCCCTCTGATTTTCTGTTTCTTGAAAACTAACATTCCTGTAATAAGGAACTTGTTGAAATTCAGGAGCTTGTGAGGAAGGCGTCCTTTTTAATATACCACTTTTCTCTCTACTGTCTTGAACTGCTACTTCCTTAGAGTTATCATTCCCTCTGAAGTAATCACTTGGGGAATTAACGGGACTGACCAGGTCTGGCAGTTTGTCATCATTACTCTTGGAAAGATATAATTTTGTTGGTGTGTGTTGCTGTGAACTGGCCATGGTGACCAGGTCTGGGACACTGCCGTAACGCTTGTCATCCTGTAAAACATCTTGGTCAATTTCATCAGATCTTTGCAGAACCCTCCTTCCATTAGAACTCTTTTTCGATTTTGAAGGTTGTTTGTCCAATGAATCACTTTGAGAGTCAACACCTTTACATGAATCTAGGTTGGCCATTTCAACAGATTGAGTATTTACCTGGGTCAATGTGATAGAAGGCAAACCTGCAGCATGTAGTCAGAAGTGTCATCAATAGACAATTTGACCCCAGTGAAATCTCAAAAACATCTGTCACATGGCCATGTACACCTGTCCAAACTGAAACAGACCAGAAATTTATTAGTCAGATTAAATATTGATTTTTAAAACAAAAAAGTCATACCTGTGTTTCTTGAAACAGCAAATATTAACAAGCCATTTGGATTAATGTCTCGCCTATGCTCCGCTCTGACCATCAATGCACATATCACAGAAACTTAAACGCAAACACTTAATATTGATGGAGATGCTGACAAAGTCAATGGACCATGAAAGGTAGGCTGCATCCAGCATTTGATGCATGGGTTGAGATGTACTACCTCAGATGCATCTATGATCCAAGTTTGGTTGGTTTAGCACTTATATTTTCAGAGAAACTAACTTAAATGCAAAACGTTTTGTTGATGCCGTTGCCGGAAAAGCAACACCTAAGCCTCGCTTCCAATTCGTGGCGGCAAGACAAAAATCAGACAAATCTTTTTGTTTTTACTGTTAAGTTGAAACTGTTAACAGAAACAAAGCTAGCTGTTTTCAAATCTTTAAGGCCATCATATTTCATGTATTTAAATAATCTGTGAAAAATAAACTACTTCTGTAATAGTTCCACTCTGCCTACATGTGAACACTCTTTTGTGATCTTCAGATAGGCAACTCTCTTTCCTGTTACACTGGTATGTAATTACTTACAAAAAAAATACAAACTTCAAGTTTACCTAACCCCTAAAAGACAAAGAATTTGAGTTGAAATAGAACCAGCTGTACAAAGTGTTAAAATGCATGGTGTTAAAATAATTTGTTTTGATTTAGGATTCAAGAAGCTTTATTTAACGTTGCATATACATGTAACATAATAACATTTGATGATTTAAATTATTTCTAGCTAATAAATCCATTTTCGAAATGTCAATGGTACTTGGTCTCTGCGACAAACGACATGTGTGGATGTACTGAGCCTACATTGAACATTATTACTTTTCAGGCAATATATTCCGATATAATTTATTATTTTACAGGGTAATTCAATATCATGTAGATCACAGGAACTTGAATTTCTATCAGAATGGTCGATTTAAGCTCAGAGAACTGATTAACCCCAAAAAATACCCCCCCCCCCCCCCTTACCGTGGGTACATATACCCGGGGGTATATATTGGGCTTAATCAGTTCTCTGAGCTTAAATAGACCATTCTGATAGAACTATGGTAAGGGGGGGTATATATTGGGCTTAATCAGTTCTCTGAGCTTAAATAGACCATTCTGTTAGAAATTCAAGTTCCTGTGTGTAGATCAACTCATTGAATATTACTAAATGACGATACCGGTCGAACGTGAAATGATTCTTTCAAAATCAAATTTAGAATTAAGTACGTATTTCAATTTTGGTTATTTCCAAATCACAGTAGACATAAAGAAAATTTGGTGGAAAACAATTAGCTGTAGCCTGAAGGACACGTACTTGTGACATTCTAATGAAATCGTCTACCGAGTGTTCGTATAACGTGTTAATACGCAGTCTACTTTGACGTGTTTGTCATCAGAAGTTGGTCTACTGTATCAGTGTTCGTACAAGTAGTAGCACCCAGATCTAGACCTGTTGTCAACATTGCCGTCTATTTTCATCATTAATCTCACAAAAATGACACAGGATGAATGTACTTTATCCTTTTGAAACAAAAATAAGCATAAAGGTATGATGTCAAAAGACATTAACTGTGATTCCTACTACAAAAAGCATGTACCTATCCTCACATGGGCCGGTAGACAGACAACTCGGTGACAGCGCCATATTTGTTTTGATACGTTCTCGCCAAATGTCACGTGATAAAGTATGAGTAATAAACCTAGGTATCGCACTACTAAATAGTTACTACACACGCGCACACATCGATATTTATTTTAGTCATTTGGAAACTAGGCCTACTTTACTCGATAATAACAGCGTATACCTTCAGTGCCTACTATATTGTTGAACCAGAGACTTATATTTTTATATATCATCTAAGTCTCAATCTGATTAAAATCATATCCTACATTCTCTACGTATCACGTTAGGTGATACGTAGAGAATGTATGATATGATTTTAATCAGATTGTCTAAAGTCTATGATCTTAGCGAAATACGTCTGGGTTGCCTACGCCTGCTCATTTAGTTCATCGTGTTAGTTTGATAAAGCAATACAGAGAGTTATTTGGTGTTATAGGGCTAGGTAGGTATAGGGACGGATTGGCCAAACCTCCTGTCCTGCGATACCCACACATGTAACGTTACATATATCATTTTGAGGTTTTTGAAGTAAAACCAATTTTCATGATGTAATACTTACCATAACTTTAGTATGCATATACAATACCTACACCCATCTTTGTAGCCCAAAAACAAAAGATTCAAATATCCCTACCTCCCTACCGTGACGTAACCCATATCTCGACGACAGAGCCACGGAGTGATCTCCCTTCCCCAAACCCCTTTTATGGAGCCTAAAGGCAGCCGGGATGAGGAGACAAGGGGAGGATTACAGGGTGTGACTCCATAAAGTTATGTTAAGTATTACATCATGAAAATTGGTTTTACTTCAAAAACCTCAATTTCATTTCAGTATTATTACTATAACTTTAGTATGCGAATTCGTCTTACCACAGACTGTGCAACCACCACCGGTCCAAGGGAATACAATCCATCAGAATGAGACGCCAAGGACCAGAGATAAAAATCCGTGAAGGTAGTCTGTCCGTGCCAGAACGCCGCGGACATGACCTCCTGAAAGGAGGACCCATTGAGGAGGGCCCATGACGCAGCAAGGGCACTGATCTCATGAGCTATCACCTTATACAACGCCCGAACCTGATCATCCAAGTGGTCGTAACCGTACTTGATGACCTGACAGATCCATCTAGACACTGACTGATAGGAGATATCCAGCTGACCCTGCTTAATGGGCAAAAACAGACAAGATCGAGACCCCCCCCCCCCCCCCCCCTGGTTTTATCGAGGTAAAACCTAAGCGCCCGACTGGGACAGAGCAACCTATCCCGTTCCCCAGACCCAACGAAGATAGTCAAAGATGGAATCTTAATCGGATCGGGCGAGAAGCCAGGAACCTGATTCTTAGCCATAAAGGCAGGATCAGTGAGAAGGGTAACGGCAGAGGAATTCCTGGACCACCGGAGGCAAGAGGGGGAAGAAGACAAGGCATGAATCTCACTCCTCCTTCGGCCTGAGGCCAGGGCAATAAGGAATACCACCTTGTAGGTAACAAACTTCAAGGAGGCAGACGCTAAAGGCTCATAAGGTGCCCGTATCAGCGATTCGAGCACCAGTGGCAAATTCACTGCGGGGCCAACTGCCGGACCCTAGGCCTGTCCAACCCAAACCCCCTAATCAAGGCAGAAAGAGAGGAGGACGAGACTACCTCCGGCCTACCATGAATAGAGATAACACTAGCAATGGCCGTGCGATAGCCAGCGATAGTGCCAGGGGCAAGATTGCGGTCCCTAAACAGCCAAAGAAGGAAGTCCGCAATCACTTGGACAGTAGCATTGATCGGATTAACCTTCCTGCCGACACACCAATCACAGTAACTCTTCCATCGTGACTGGTAGACGGCAGATGAGAGAGACCTAATTGATCGAGCGATGCGATCTGACACGTCCCTAGAGGCCTCCTGAGATAGCTTCCACGCGTGAAGGTGGAGGATCTCCGGACGAGAGTGCATCGTCCTGGACCGAGGCTGGCGAAGGAGGTTCGCTCTGGGAGGAAGAGCCAGGGACTCTTCCACCAGAAGCGACAAAAACTCCGGAAACCAAGGCTGCCTCGGCCACCGGGGGCTATCAGGAGGAGGGAACACTGATGCTCCTGAAACTTCTGCATCACCCTGCCCACCAGGTTGAAGGGCGGGGATGCATATGCATGCATCCCCTCCCAATCCAGAGACAGAGCGTCCACGGCCCAAGCCCTTGGATCTGGAACTGGAGAGACAAACGTTGGCAACTGATTGTTCAGTGAAGTGGCGAACAGGTCTATGTGAGGCCTGCCCCACACCTGACAAATTCCCTCGAAAATCGAGGGATTCAGTTGCCGGTCTGTCAAAACCGGCTGGCGGCGCCTGGAAAGAGTATCCGCCAGAACATTCAACCTGACTGGTAGATGCTTGACACAAATTGTAAACTGCATTTCCTGACAAAGAAGAAGAATGCGGATAGCGAGGACACACAGGGTGTGACACCTGGTTCACCCGTCTCTCCAGATACGCGACAACCGTAGTGTTGTCCGTAGCCACACAAACCACATTGGAATGCAGGATCTCCCGAAAAGACTGCAGAGCCAACAGAACAGCCCTCATCTCGAGCACATTGCTGTGCTCCGAGAGCTGTTCCCCAGACCACTCCCCAGACCGGCAACGCCCGTCGAGATAAGCTCCCCACCCTGTCATGGATGCATCCATGTACAGGGTTATAGTGGGAACCGGCTTTGACAAAGGAACCCCTCGGAGAACATTGTCCTGATGAGTCCACCAGCGTGCGTACTCCTTGACCGACTGGTTCAGAGGAAGCCAGGCTTCCCAATCCCAATCCCTTGAAGAAGGGACCCAGTTGGCAAGGAGAACATCTGGAGAGGCCTGATGTGAAGTCTCCATTAGGAAACCACATCGGTCAGGGCGTTGAGATATCCCAGAAAACTGAGAAACGTACCTGGACTTGAGACCGGCCGATGAAGGTCAGAGCAAAAGCCCTGTCCATCTCGAACTTCTCCATCGGTGGAAGGGTGATGCCCTGAACCGTATTGCAACGGTTCCACAGAAAAACAAAATCCTGAGATGGGGAAACCTACGACTTTTCTCTGGAAGGAATGAAGCCCACCTTGAGTAAGAGTTTCAGAACCAACCGGGTGACCTGCACCAGAGACGCTCTAACTAGGTGGAACATGAGGGAGTCGTCGAAATAGATGTGCACATATATTCCTCGAGAGTGCAGGAATCCCACGACCACCTGCAGCAGCTTGGTGAAAAATAAAGGTGCAGTCGTGAGCCCGAACGGCATGGCCCGGAACTGGAAGACCTTTCCGTTGCAAGTAAAACGGAGGTACTTCCGTGCCGACTTCTTGATGGGGATGTGGAAGTAGGCGGCCTTCAGATCTACTGAAGTCGCCCACATTCCCTCTCTCACGGAGGCGATAATACCCCGAGGAGTCTCCATCTTGAAGTGAGGAGAATCTACGTGCTTGTTGAAGGAACTTAGATCTTTGATGGGACGTCAAGCCCCAGACTTCTTACGAAACAGAAACATTCTGGAGTAGAACCCGGGAGTGCATCCCGACATAGGAACCTCCTCGACCGCGCCCTTGGTAAGCATGGTCCTTACTTCCTCCTGGAGCGCCAGAGCCTTTTCCGGATCCCCCGGTGGAGGAAAAAAGATTGACTCTGACGCTAAGGGCGGATCCCGCACTAGTGGAATGCCTAACCCCTCCTTGATCACAGACAAGGCCCATGTGTCTACCGTAATTTCCTTCCACTCTGGATGGAAAGCAGAAAGACGACCCACCACAGGAAGATCTGGTCGAGGCAGATCGAGACCTTGCCAGGCGAGAGAACCGTCTGCTGACCCGAAGCCTAATCCTGCGGGAGAAGGACCTAAGCTTGAGCCGATAGGACTGCAGTCCTACCGGCCAAACTCGTCGCCTGACACGACAAGGAGGTAAGAAGAGAGTCAGGAACCCTTCTTCTTACCCCCAGGAGGTTTCTTACCCTTCTTACTCTTCCATTTGTTGCCCTTGAAGGGAGGCTTATACTTGGGCTGCGCAGAAGACTGCGAAGTCGAAGGTTTAGCCTTCTTCTTAGGAGGCGCTGACCCCTGCGAGGTACTGGCCTTCTCAGCCTGAATCTTCTTCACCAGAAGTGCAGAGGCGACCGAGTCCTCCTTCAAATCCTTCTGAACAGAAGGAAGGGCTCCTCCAAAAAGAGTGGACCCTGAGAAGGGGGCAGTCAACAATCTGGAGCGGTAAGGCTCATCGATCGGGGGGGTTTCAAAACTGAAAACCGCCTAGCCAACAAGACATTGACGAGCGATGACACCTGTAAAGCTGCCAGCGCTCTCAATGCCCCGTTCAGGGCAGAGGTCGCTCTGTCCTGGATGTCGGCCTGCTCTGTCTCGGTAATCTGGACGCAGCAGTCTCTCAATCTTGTGGTGTTCGTTGGGACCGAACACCACCTGGTCCACCGATTTACCGGGCCAAGCTGCAAGTTCCCTCGATTCCAGCTTAGCTGGTTGAGGGGCAAGCAGGCCATCATGTGTGGCATAGTCAGTGGCGTGCACTTCTGATAAATCGCCAACACTGAGCTACAACCCAGCATACCCAGGACTACGGGTTGAAGAAGAATTCTTCTCTAAAACCCGAGACTGGGCGGTGGCCAGAGCTGAAGACACAATAGTGCCTTTTGGCAGAGAGCGGTCCGACCGGGTGGACACCCGATGATCCACCAAAGAACCCAAATGGGTGGTGGACTCGGGGACAGATGACGCCGAAGGTGGTGGGCAAACCTCCTCCCCGAGAATCCGGGAAACGTCGGCCCTAAGGCCCCGCATACCGGACAACACATGCTGGGCCTCAACCTCAGCAGCCTCAGGGTCACCCTCATCCTGGGCGTCCTCCTCATATGGCAAGCCCTCCTGAGGACCGTCGTCAGACGACTCGGAAAGACCAGCGTCTATATCCGAGCAACCAGGTGAAAGATGAACAACATCATCGTCCTCTGCTATACCCGCGCCCTCTACGTCCATAGCCTCCACACCATCCTGACCAAAAGCCTCGGGCGGAGGAAATGGGCCAGCCAGAGGGGCCAA